TGTATTAACCCAGGCTCATTGGACGTACGTGCCTTACCTAAACGTTTTCTTGAAGTACATTGCTCCGGGTATGTTTCGTTGCACGTTTCTGTTGACAAGTCCAGTGGAGGGCACTGTTTACAGTTTGTGAATCTGAAATACACTACTTATGGTAAGTTTCCTCGTACTTTCAGATGCACATTCTTCTTGTACACAAGGAGAATTTCCAATACCTAAACACTTCCATAAACCCAACCAATAGTGTTTTCAAAAGCAAATGTGACCACACTGCGACCAGTTTTATCTTGATTTTACATTGCTTTAATCTCTTTTGATGAACCGTGCTTCACTGCACTCAAACCAGAGTGCTCTGCAGCACAATTAAGTACAACAAGGTGTACACAAGCTGAGCTACCGAGCAAACTGACCTCACCAGAAAAGTTGTCCATATGGAGCTAAATCCCAGGATTTCCCTCAAAAACAAAAGAGTAGGAGTTTAAACCCGGCATCTTGGCCAAATTTGCCCACTGACCTCTGTCCATCATGTCTTCCTAACCATCCCCATACCATAATTGGCTTCATCACTCTGTCTCCTCTCCACCAATCAGCTGGTGTGCTGCCTGGTGCAATACGGCTGCTGTCCCGTCATCCAGGTGGATGCTGCAAACTGTTGGTGGATGAGGAAATTCCCCCCAATGTATAATGCGCTTTGAGTGTCTAGAAAAGCGCTATATAAATGTAATTAATTATTATTATTATTATTAATATTATTATTGTTGTTATTATGAATAAGTGACAATTGTTTTTGCAAACAAATGATAAACAGTTAGGCTGTTTTGTGGTTTATTTTTTATTAGGTGTTGTGCAATGAACTGCACCAAAATAGTCCTTTACTAAGGTGCTCCAGGATTGGCCAGCCCAGTCACCAGAAATGAACATTATTAAGCATGTCTGGGGTAAGATAAAGGAGCAGGCATTGAAATGAATCCAAAGAATCTTGATGGAACTCTGGGAGTCCTGCAGGAACACTTTCTCTGCCATTCCAGATGACTTTATTAATAAGTGATTTGAGTCATTGCAGAGATGTATGGATGCAGTCATCCAAGCTCATGGGAGTCATGCACAGTATTAATTCTTTTTTCACTGCAGTATGACTTCATATTCTATGCTGTACATTATTTCTGTTAAGTGACGAGACTTTTGTCTGAGCAAAGTCAGACCTTACTGTCCTAATGAAATAATTCAAAATCAAGGCATAATCATTTTATTTCATCAAAATAAGCATAATCTAGAGGCCTTTGCCTTTCATACAGTATAAGCCACTTCTGATACCAAATGATCAACTAGAAGTTATTATATGTTGTTCCTAAAACTTAGAGAGGGGACAATACTTTTGTTAGGTAGCGTCTGTGTTTAAGTTAGGTATGTGCATGTATGCTCGAGTGTGTTTGCGTGCATGCCTGTGTGTGTTAGTTAGTGCAATTTCATGAAAACTGTAATAACTGATGAAAACTGTATAAAAGGCAAGTAGTTTCAGTAATGACATGATCATAATTAATAGTGAAATTATTAGAATAGTTTAAACACTCCCTGCTAGACATGGGCTGGTTTACGATTCTGACGGTATAATAACCTTGGATAAAAATATCACGGTTTCGTAGTATTGTGATTACTGCTCTAAAATATATATATTTTAAATATCTGGGTAAAAAACAAAAACTTTTTTTCCCTTTTGAGCACAATATATTTTATTTTGAGACACATTTAAAATATTTTGAAACAGTAAACATGTCAGGCTAAATGAATAATTGACTTCTGCTGTCTTTATTGGTTTAAAAAAAAGATTTTTTTACAATTTAAACCGACATCTTTGGATATCTTTTCTGCTGGAGATCCTGTTGTCCTAAAAGACAAAAAAAATTTAACTAAAATAAAATAAATAAAATTAAAACTAACTAAAATAAATAAATAATTAAATAAATAAATAAAAATAAATAAAAAATCTTACTTCTACCTTAGGAACAGTAGTGCAGAAAATTTAAAAACTCTGACTTTTCCAAACCGCGGTATGCCTTGAAAACTTTTAGCATTCCATGCCTACTCCCTGCAGGCACAGGAGGTCAACATGATATCATATTGACGTTGTGCCCCAATATACCCCAACGTCACGGGGATGTTCGATTTTGTTTGGAAATAAAAATCGAGTTGACATCAGAACCCAACATTAGGTCGACATCGATGTCCAACCTAAAATCAACCAAATATCAATCATGTTACACCTTGACATTGTGTGGACGTTATCACTATGACATCTATTAGACATCGGATTTTGGTCCCTTTCCAACACAACCTAAAATCAACCAAATATCAACGTAATTTGACGTCGTTATTGGATGTCAAAATAATGTTGTCCTTATATGCTGCCTAGACACTGAATTATGATCGCCTGACGTCATGACCTAAATCTAACCTACACTGTAACGTCTTATGATGCTGTGCGCCTGCTGGGCTGACAAACTAAGGAATGAAGACATGCATTAAAATTGCTATTTTAATTAAACAGTATTTTTCTGTGGTATAAAAAATGGTATCAAATATAAATATTTTAAGGTTTATTTATCAATGTCAAAATTCAATTAAACATTTCTCTGAGAACATCACTCACCACAACTTAGCAACCACCTAAAACACATACTTACACCATAGCAACCACATAAGAGTCAAGCATTGAACAGAGTGGACTGAGGCCCCATTTACACTAGTGCGTTTTAGTTTTAAAACAGCGTTTTAGAATGAAAACGATCCGCGTCCACACTTGCGTTTTACCCAGCGTTTCTGAACTGCTCTCCGTCCACACCAAAAACGCTGAAAACGCACATCACGTGACCACACACACACTCTCGGGCAAGCGCTGCAGCATTTCTACCCAGATGAGAGCTCTGCTAGTCGGACTTCTCATCAAGCATCTCCCGCTGGATCTAATCTCACTATATTTGCTAAACGTGATATTTCATTCATCTTGTTGTTTTTATCTAATGACATAGGCCAATTCCCTGACTTTGGTCATTGGAATCTATTACTTGTTCACAGGTAACGTGTTTTGGTTAAGCGCAAAGATAAGTAATGATTAATCCATGTACATTGACTGATCGCTTGCCTTTATTTCCTTCTATGTATAAACTTATTGTATGTTATACTTTTATAATGGCCATTATTGATGATTAAAACTGATATTCAGCAAAAGAGAGGCTGTGTTTCGTATTTTCACTGAAATTGAAAGGAGGCAGTTGTTATAGGCTCTGTTTTGTTATAAATATCCACACAGTGAAGAAGACGCTCATAAATGCAGCACGACGCCTCAAAATTTCTGCTGTCTGTTAAGTTGCTAATATTAAAATGAAAATAGGCAGTTCCTTATATCATGTTTTCATTTTATTGTTGAGAATGTGAAACAACGTAAGCAAGGTGATGTGAATGAAGTTATAAAGTACACTGTTCCCCTTTGAAGATTTACGCGTGTCCTCAGTATGTTTTCCATATCAAACTGAGAAGGGGGAGACTGCAGCCTTGATCAAACTTGCGAAGTCGGAACTTATAAGAAGAGGATGCGAGACTGAACTGTGTGTGTTAGGCTACTTAATATTGAGGAAAAGCCCCAATCAGAGAGGCGAACGTCGGCAGCCCCGCCTCCGTTTTCAGATGTCTCCGTCTTTCCCCATCCACACTGAGACGGAGCAGCAGCGTTTTAGAATGAAAACAGCCTCTCCAGCATTTCCAAAACGTTCCGTTTTCGGCGCTCGAGAACTCCGGCGTAGTGTGGACGGATGGCGTAACCGTAGCAAAACTTATGCGTTTTAAAACGAAAACGCATTAGTGTAAACG